CTCGGCCTCCCAAAGTGCTGGGATTACAGGCGTGAGCCACCGTGCCTGGCCCTTATTATTTCATCCTAACAAATACAGCTTTGGGCAAGTTACTGAACTGCTGAGTCTTTTTCTTCTTCTTTTAAAAAAGTAGTAAAAGACTAAAGAATTTACTTTGGATTTCAGCACTGTTTAGAGAATAATCTACCTCTTGAACATTGATTTGATATTTCATTTATCATATTAACTTCCTAAAAATGCCAACATTTGTTTGGCATGTCTTTTATAATATTTAGAAGCATAAAATATCTCTTCATATATCCAGATCAAATACGTGTCTCAGACAAGCTTTGCAGTTTTTTTCAAACAGAGGCTACATATTTCTTGATCTAGGTTGATTCTGAATTTTCTGTTTGTTACCTCTATAAACGAGAATTCCCTGTTGCCTGAGGAATGCTTGTCTTGAGAGATGTTGTTCAAGCACTGAGAATTCCATGCTCACTTCGATTTGGGAAACAGATCATAGTGTATTTCTCTTTTGAAGATTTATGGTATTTAAGGTCTTCATAAATTTGGTGGTGGACTAACTTGTTTAACTTTGAAAACAAAATTACTCATCCATGGATCACATATTTACTTGTAATTAAAATACTGGAATTAAATGACTGTGTAAATAGTTTAGTTTATTTGATACAGTTCTAGACTACTGGTATTACTAACTGACATTTGATTTTAAAGTGTTTAGATTTCATTTAAGTATTAGTAAAACTAAATCTTTAACTCAAAAATTCAAAAGCACATTATAAAGCACCCTTGAGCTCTCCTGGCTCTGGTTATTTGACCTTGGTAACCTCTGCCCTAGAGCTCTTAGGCTTTTTGTGCCTTCCTGCCTTATTTAGTCCCCTGATGGACACTTTGGGGACACTGTCTCTGGGCAGTGGGCCCCAAGTAGCAGCAGTTGTATCTTTCTTCCGACAAACAGAGGAAGAAGTGGCCGTGCCAGGGTTATTCTCCCAGCAGAGAAGTCTGGCCAGGTTTATGCACAGGCATTATTGTTTTTATTTTGAGCATGTGCAGGAGAAAGGGGTGGGTAGTTGCAGAAGCTGAGTGTTTAAGAGGGCTAGGGCAAGAAGAACTTGTACAGATAGTGACAGGGACATGGGGAAGGCAGGGAGGGTAGAGGGATTAAAGCCAAGAAGGAGTAATGAGGTGCTGGCCAATATGTGAGACAGATGTAAAAGACCAGTATTTTGGTACATGGATACCTTGTTGAATTGCACTTGCCTTTATTGCACTTTACAGATATTGCAATTTTTACAAATTAAAGGTTAATGGCAACCATGTGTCAAGCAAGTCTATGGGCACCGTTTTTCCATCAGCATGTGCTGACTTCATGTCTATCACATATTGGTAATTCTCACAAGATTTCAAACTTATCATTATTATATTTCTTGTGGTGCTCTATAATCAGTGATCTTTTACATTACTGTTGTAATTGTTTTAAGTGCCATGAATGACACCCATATAAGATGACGAACTTAATGGATAAATGTTGAGTGACTTCTGACTGCTTCACCGACCAGCTATTCCTGTCATTCTTCCTCTCCTTGGGCCTCCCTAGTCCCTGAGACACAGTAGTATTGAAGTTAGGCCAATTGATAACCCTATAGTGACCTCTAAGTGTTCAACTGAGAGAAGGAGTCATAGGTCTCTCACTTTAAAGCAAAAGCTAGAAATGATTAAGCTTAGTGGGAAAGTGTGTTAGAAGCTGAGAAAGGCCGAAAGCTTGGCCTCTTGCGCCAGTTAGCAAAAGTGCTAATTCAGTGAACACATGAATGATAAGAGAGAAACAGCCTTATTGTTAATGTAGAGAAAGTTTTAGTGGCCTGAATAGAAGAGCAAACAAACCACAACATTCACTTAAGCAAAAGCCTAATCCAGGGTGAGACTCTAGCCCTCTTCAATTCTATGAAGACTTGAGAAAGATGAGGAAGTTTCAGAAGAAAAGTTTGAAGCTAGCAGAAGTTGGTTCATGAGATTTAAGGAAAGCAGCTGCCTCCATAACATAAAAGTGCAAGATGAAAGCAGCAGTGCTAATGTAGAAGCTACAGCAAATTATCTAGCTAAGATCATTGAATGAACAGATCATTAAAGAACAGATTCTTGATGTAGATGAAACAGTTTTCTATTGGAAGAAGATGCCATCTAAGACTCATAGCTAGAGAGAAGTCAATACCTGGCTTTGAAGCTTCAAAGGATAGGCTGACTGTTTTTAGGAACTAATGCAACTGGTGACTGTAAGTTAAAGCCAGTGCTCACTTGCCATTCCCCAAATCCTAGGGCCCTTAAGAATTGTACTAAATCTACTCTGCCTATGTTCTATAAATGGAACAGCAAAGCCTGGATGACAGCACATGTGTATATAGCATAGTTTACTGAATATTTTAGGCCCACTGTTGAGAACTTCTGCTCAGGAAAAAAGATGCCTTTCAAAATATTCCTGCTTATTAACAATGCATCTGATCACCCGAGAGTGCTGATGGAAATTAATGTTGTTTTCATGCCTGCTAAGACAACATCCGTTCTGCAGCCCATGGATCAAGGGGTAATTTTGACTTTCTTGTCTCATTATTTAAGAAATAAGGCTATAGCTACCACAAATAGTGATTTCCTCTGATGGATCTGGGCAAAATAAATTGAAAACCTTCCAGAGAAAGGATTCACCATTCTAGATGCCATAAAACATTCATGATTCACAGGAAGAGGTCAAAATATCAACATGAACAAGAACTTGGAAGAAGTTGATTTTAACCCTCATGGATGACTTTGAGAGGTTCAAGACTTCAATGGAGAAAGTAACTACAGATGTGGTGGAAATCACAAGAGATCTAGATTTAGAAGTGGAGCCTGAAGATGTGACCGAATTGCTGCCATCTCATGATAAAACTTGAGTGGATAAGTAGTTGCTTCTTATGGATGAGCAAAGAAAGTGGTATTATGGAATGGAATCCACTCCTGGTGAAGATGCTGTGAACATTGTTTAACTGACAACAAAGGATTTAGACTATTACGTAAACTTAGTTGATAAAGTAGCAGCAAGGTTTGAGAAGACTGACTCCCATTTTGAAAGAAGTTCTACCGGGGTAAATGCTGTCAAACACCATTGTATGCTGCAGAGAAATCTTTCATGAAAGAGTTGATTGATGCAGCAAACTTTGTTGTTATCCTATTGTAATAAATTGCCACAGCCACTCCAGCCTTCAGCAACTACCACCCTGATCAGTCAGCAGCCATCAACATCAAGGCAAGACCCTCCCCCTGCAAAAGTTTAGGACCTACTGAAGGCTCAGATGATTATTAGCATTTTTTAGCAATAAAATATTTTTAATTAAGATATGTACATTGGTTTTTTAGCCATAATGCTATTGCACGCCTAATAGACTACAATATAGTGTAAAATAACTTTTCTATGTACTGGGAAACCAAAACATTTGTGTGACTTGCTTTATTGCAATATTCGCTTTATCACAGTGATCTGGAATAGAACTTGCAATATCGCCAAGGTATGCCAGTACTTAAAAATAGCACAGAATAGCAAAAACTAATAAAACCAATAAAAACAAAGCGCAAAAACGAATATTACAGCTATTAATATTAGTATAAACATCTATTCTTACCTATGTATTAATCACTGGTGTTATGTACAAAAACTATTGATTTTTTTAGTGTGTAGTACCACAAATTCTGATAGGTTTTCAGGAGATTTTTCTGAGTATTCTAGATAGATGTCTATTGTCTACATATAATGAAAAATAGTTCTTTTTTTTTCCTTATAGTTTTACCAGCTAAATATCTTATCTGGGCCAGAAACTTCTAGGGAAATATTAAATAATAGTGCTAACTGGCATCTATTTTATTCCTTTTGGAAATGCCAAATATATATTATGAGATTTGAAAGGTTTTTTGATTTGTTTCTATCATGTTAAATGTCTTTCCATTTATAGTTTAAGAATCAGTGTCAGGAGTAGATGCTGAATTCACATGAAATGTTCCTTCAATTTTTATTCATGTGATAGATTTTCCTAATATTACACCTTCGCTATATAAAATCCTTAGAATAAACTATATTTGCTCTTGGTGGACTATTTTTAATGTAAGTTAATATTTTGTTGAGCATCTTTGCACCTATGTTTTTAAGTGAGATTAGTTTATATAGTTGTGGGTAGAGGGCCAGTGCTATCTTTAATTTTTTGTTTTAGCTTTAGAATTATGCTTACATTGTAAGCTTTGCCTGCCCACCTGTCTTCCTTCACTTATTTCTGTCTTTTGGTATGTTCCAGAATAATTTATATAGCATTAGAGTGAGCCTTTTCCTCAAAGCACTGTGTAAAGCCATCTTCTAGAGTTTGGTTGTTGGCCAGGCGTGGTGGCTAGCCTTGGTAATCCCAGCACTTTGAGAGGCTGAGGTAGGAGGATTGCTTGAGCCTAAGAGTTTGAGACTAGCCTGGGCAACATAGTGAGACAAAACAATTTAAAAATCAGCCAGGCGTGATGTGGCATGTGCCTGTAGTCCCAGGTACTCAGGAGGCTAAGGTGGGAGGCTGCAAGGAGTAGTGATTGTGCCACTGTGTTCCAACCTGGGCAACAGCGAGACCATGTTTCAGAAAAATATAAAAATAAAAATAGAGTTTGGTTATCTTTGTTGGTGGTTTTTATTTCTGTACTTATTGGGAGTGGGGAGCTGCAAAGGTCATGATCTTTTGATTTTCTGTTTCTTGGTTTAATTTGGTATTCTCATTTTAAGAAGCTTTTCTATCTCACTGTTTTTAAATATGAGTAGGAAAAAATAGATTAGGATTTTTTTTCTTTTTTGTCTTTTATAAATTTTGAATCATTAGAAAATGCTTAGCAGTCGAAACGTTCTTTATTAATCTTTATGAAAGTTAGTAAACTTTGGCCTTTTCTTAGATACATGTCAGAGAGCAAAGCATATTCTAGCTAATACCTTGTGCTTCTTACAGAGATCAGCAGGCAAAATAAGCTCATTCAAGAAAAAAAGGATAACTTGTTAAAATTGATTGCTGAAGTAAAAGGCAAAAAGCAGGAATTGGAAGTACTGACTGCAAATATCCAGGATCTTAAGGAAGAATATTCTAGGAAGAAGGAAAGTAAGTTTCCTGTTGTAAACATACTGATCTAAAATGGAAAGTGGTGACGGTTCACCATTATTAAGTACATCTTGCCTGTTCAAATTCATTGCTAAAAATGGATTACAGTACCTCAGGGCATAACCAGCCACTCATCTCTGCAAGATGTCATTAAAGTTAGCTAACTGGGTTTTATTTCCTTACCTTAAAGGGCCTTCTCTTGTGATTTTTAATATAATCAGTAATAATGAAATTGATATGAGGTTTTATTTATTTATTTTTATTTTTATTTTTCCTGAGACAGAGTTTCACTCTTGTTGCCCAGGCTGGAGTGCAATGGCACGATCTTGACTCAGTGCAACCTCCACCTCCCAGGTTCAAGCAATTCTCCTGCCAAAGCCTCCCGAGTAGCTGGGATTACAGGCACCTGCCACCACGCCTGGCTAATTTTTGTATTTTTAGTAGAGACAGGGTTTTCACCATGTTGGCCAGATTGGTCTTGTACTCCTGACCTCAGGTGATCCACCTGCCTCAGCCTCCCAAAGTGCTGGGATTACAGGCGTGAGCCACCATACCCGGCTGATAAAAGGTTTTAATTAAGCAGAGTGAGAAGTGGTGTCCCTAAATAAAATTTGCTTTGGACAAGCCATAGTGTACTTTATGCAACAAATATTTATTGACCATACATTCTCTGCTAGGTAATATTAAGTGCTCTTTTTATGCTGCAAAATCTCTTTTGTATAAAGAACTTTCATATTCAGATGAATGCATCTTTTAGAAAGGAGCCTTGTTTGCTCACAAACTAGGTAATCTATTCTTCAAATCTTCTGAAAATAGCAAAGTTTGTTTTGTTAATGCTTTTTCATGTGGAGTTCTTAACCAAGTCTAAATTGTGAAATTATTTTTCTCATTACTTAGGGACTATTGTGCTACTTTAAAGTATACTTAGGGACTATTGTACTAACTTAAAAAAAAAGAAAAAGAAAAAACTTTTTTTTTCATTAAATAAGGCTGACCTTTTATAAGAAATAGTTACACTTAAAGGAATAGAACATTTTCCCATGAAGCAATTGGTTATCTAGAAAAAGCACAATAGTATAAATGAAGTCTGTTTATTTCTATGCCAGCCATACGAATCCCTGGCCTATTTATTTATGCTACTACATAATAAAGAAAGACAAGGCTTATTCTTCTCACTATCTGTATACATTTTCTTGGGCAGTTTTTCCTTCCAACTTGAATGAACAAAAACTTCTTTTAGCTAACTGGTAGATATAGAAACAATAAATGAAAGCAGATTTATAGGCGTGGCATCATTTTATAGTCGATTTTAAGTTTAAAAAATTAACTCAGCATTAATTTACTATTTAAAACATTTAATATGTGTGTGTTTTTTAATCACAGCTATTTCTACTGCTAATAAAGCGAATGCAGAGAGGTTGAAAAGGCTGCAGAAATCTGCAGACTTGTATAAAGATCGACTTGGACTAGAAATTCGAAAAATTTATGGTAAGTTTGTTAATATAAATAAAACACAGGAGATTAGAAAAGTATGTCTTTTCTTAAATAGAGGAGAATTTAAAAAATATTTTCAACTAAAATGATGACATTAACTTTTTAGAAAATAGGAAAAATTTACAATTTTTAAATTATTCTAACATAGTTACTGATGCTCTAGTTATTTATCATTCAGTATTTTAATAAATGTATTTTTGGCAGGATTGTCAACATGCAAATAATTTTTGTTGTTCCTATCAACATTGTATTATGAGCATTTCCTCAGTTGCTATAGCCTTCATAATGGTAATTTTTAAATAGTGGTATAATAATTCATTCTATTCATATAGCATAGTTTATTCAACCATTTATCTATTGTTTAACACATATTTTGCTTCTACCAACATTTGGAATCTGCCAGTTTTTTCAGTTTTAGAAATACAGGTATCCCCCCTTATTCACGGTTTCTGTTACCTATGTTCAGCCATGGTCTGACAATATTAAATGGATGAGTATAGTACAATAAGATATTTTGAGAGGGAGAGAAGCCACATTCAGATAACTATAACTTTTATTATAGTATGTTGTTCTAATTGTTCTATTTTATTATTAGTTGTTATTAATCTCTTCCTGTGCCTAATTTACAACTTAAACTTTATCATAGGTACGTATGTATAGGAAAAAACATAGTATGGACAGTCCCTGACTTACGATAGTTCAACTTACAATTTTTTGACTTTATAATCAGTGTATCAGGGTGGTAAGTGCATTTTTGCCCTACAAGGTTTTTGACTTTTGATGTGTTTATTGGCACATAATGCCATTGTAAGTCAAGGAGCATCTGTTTACATAGGGTTTGGTACTATCTGTGGTTTCAGGCATCTGTTGAGGGTCTTGGAATGTATTTCTCCCTGGTGGGTAAAGGGGGACTATTGTAAACCGGTGAGCATTGACTTTCCTGTTTTCTTTGTATGGTTTTTCATAGTATTGTTTCCCAGAGAGGAATTGCTAGGGTAAAACACATGAATATTTTGATGCCTGTTGCATGTATATCACATGTACATCGCTAATGTACGCCAATGTCTGTTGTGTCTGGGCTTCCCAAGATCACTCTTAGCTTTGGTGATTCACTAGAAGGAATTAGCATATAGTCATATTCATGGCTAAGATTTACTGCAGCAAAAGGATACAGAACAGAATCAGCAAAGAAACAATAGCACATGGAGCAAAGTCTACAGGAAACCTGGCACAAGCTTTCAAGAGTCCTAACCCAGTACAGTCAAACAGGATGTGCAAATTCCTTCAGCATCAAATTGCGACAACACATGTGAAGTGTTGTCTACCAGGAAGCTCATTAGAGGCTCTGGAAGCTTGTACCTGGTTCTCCTTGGACTGTACCCCATGTACCATTTCCCTTTGCTGATTTTGTTATATCCTGTTGCTGTAATAAACCATAGCCCTGAGTATGGCCATATGCTGCTGAGTGAATCCTGTGAGTTCTCCTAGTGAATCATAAAAAAGACCACAGCTGCCAAGTTCATTCCATTTTATGGCTGAACAATGTTCCATTGTATGTATATACTATATCCATTCATCTGTTGGTGGACACTGGGTTATTTCCACTTTTGGGCTACTATGAATAATGCTGCTATGAACATTGGCATACAGTTATCTACTTGAGTCTGTTTTCACTTCTTTTGGATATATACTTAGGAGTGGAATTGCTGGGTCATATTGTAATTCTATATTTAAACTTTTTGAGGATCTGCCAAAGTGTTTTTCACAGTGGCTGTACCATTTTACATTTCTACCAGCAATGTACTAGGGTTCCAGTTTCTCCACATCCTCACCAACATGGTTATTTTCCATTTATTTATTTGCCATCCTACTGGGTATGAAATGGTATCTCATTGTAGTTTCGGCTTGCATTTACATAATGACTAATGATGTTGAACATCTTTTCAGGTACTTAATGGGCATTTTTATATATTCTTTGGAGAAATGTTCTTTCAGGTGTTTTGCCCATTGTTGAATTGGGTGTTTTTTAGTTGTAGGAGTTTTAAATACATTCTATGTATTCAACCTTTATCAGATAAATGATTTGCAAATATTTTCTCCCATTCTTTAGGTTGTCTTTTCCTTCTCTTGATAGTGTTCTTTGAAGGACAAAAGTTTTTAATTTTAACAAAGTCCAATTTATCTAGCTTTTCTTTTGTTGACTGTATTTTTGATGTCATATTGAAACTATAATATATTTTAAAATGAATTTGTAACTTCTGCATTTGGAAATGTTGATTACGTGACTGTACATGCTTAGCAGTGCAGATATTGATTCAAGATGGAGTAAGAAAGGGTATCGCTATTGAAAGCTTTGACACACTAAATAGTTCAATCTCTTTTCAGGTGAGAAATTGCAGTTTATATTCACTAATATTGACCCTAAGAATCCTGAGAGCCCATTTATGTTTTCCCTGCATCTAAATGAAGCAAGGGACTATGAAGGTATGTACTAATATCTCCTAACTGATATTTAAGATTGGCATTCCAAAATATTATTTCAATCAGATTATAAAGTAATATGGAGGAAAGCAATAGCTCCAGACTCTATTGCTTCCTTTTTCAGTCTTGCTTCTTGGGTTATAGTCTTCTAAAGGAAGTGAATATACTCTTGATTTATAGATATTGTCTGGGATCCTTAATAAGTAGCATCTGTTCAGGATGGCACAGTGCCAGAGTGTCTGAAAAATCTAAAAATCACTGCATTCATGTGCAAATATGAATTTTCCTTTTAGATAACTTTTTTAAAAACTGAAGCTTTAAAGAATATGGCTGCTTAAATGTGAATATTAGAACTTATCCAAGTAGATCATTTTAAAGTCACATGTAAAATCACCAGAATTTAACAATTTATTTTCCCAAAAATACATTTTTGAAAAACTATTTTATCCTGCAAATCTCACCCATTGATAATAAAGGTTAGTTACTGATTCTGCAGCTGGCCAAAAGGCCTTTGATTTATAAGGAATATATATCTTTGATAATAATGTGAACAAGAAGGGAATAGAAATATGTTTATCTCTTGTTTATTCTTCTAATGCCCCTGTACAAGTAATCCTTAATTTATTGGAATTCATAAAAATGGTTCTCAGCTCATTACACCTGTGCTATCATCTTAAAGCCTTTGTAGCTGACAGACACTCAGGTGAACTGCTGAGCTAGCACAGCCCTGTGCCCTGGTGGCTCAGTTTCTGTTCCTAGGGAATTTATATTTTGAGAATCTGATTCATATACAGATGTTTGGGTTTTTTTCTCTCTAGATAAATATCTTCCAATCTAATTAGTGCTAGATTTTAAAAAGCAAGCCCCAAAAACCTCTTATCTAGCTTTTCAATTTTCTCTAAATTGGATATTCTCTTATGGTATAATCTGATAGTACATGATAGTATATTACAATAGAATATACAGGATACATTTTGGACCGGATGCCCTTTGCTGTTGTTTCTCTGCTGTGGTCATGGACCTTGTTTCCTAAGCAGTCTGTACCCGAGAGCTGGAAATCTGATAATGGGTGAATTTCTTTTCCTTTGACCACTTTCACTGGAGACTTGTCCCAGTGTACCAGCTGGTACAACTACATACAAGAATAATACTGTTATTTGTGACTTTGAGTCTCATTTGATTAATAGCCCCTGTAAATACCACTCTTGGAATAGCAACCACATTTTCTAATGCCTGCCATTTCACTTGGAAAATTCTAGATATTTCTTTCATAATTGTAAATTATTAAGGCTAGGCACTGAAAATTGTTCTTTTTTCAGGCTGGGCATGGTGGCTCACGCCTGTAATTCCAGCACTTTGGGAGGCAAAGGCGGGCGGATCACTTGAGGTCAGGAGTTCAAGACCAGCCTGGGCAGCATGGCGAAACCCTGTCTCTACTAAAAATATATAAGTTAGCTGCACATACATGTTACCTGTAATCCCAGCTACTCAGAAAGCTGAGGCAAGAAAATTGCTTGAACCCAGGAGACGGAGGTTGCAGTGAGCTGAGATCGCACCACTGCACTTCCAGGCTTGGTGACAAATCAAGACTGTCTCAAAAAAAAAAAAAAAAATTGTTCTTTTTTTTTTTTTTTTTCAAATCCAGTGGTCAGAAATGAAAAGTCAGTCAGACCAAAGTTTTGCAGATAAAAATGACTTACCAGTTTTAAAAAAAAGTTTAAATAGTTAAAATATATAGGTTTAAGATGATGGGCAGGGTCATTCTGCATCACTAAACTCTCAATCCTTGAGTGCCATCTGTTTAAATTTAAAGCAAGATTATAGTACTTCAGATTTGAATATTTAGAGATTAAATGAAGGAAAGATCCAAAAGATAGTTGGCATGTGAAAATCAAGTGTATCCGTTTTTGCTCAAAGAATTTCATTAAGATGGAATTGACATTCAAACCAGATGAGAGCATCTAAATTAGAAACACTTCTCTGCCATAAAAAATCTATTCTAATTGTCTTTGATTTTTTTTTTCCCTAGTGTCAGATAGTGCCCCTCATCTTGAGGGCCTAGCAGAATTTCAAGAGAATGTAAGGAAGACCAACAATTTTTCAGCTTTTCTTGCCAATGTTCGGAAAGCTTTTACTGCCACGGTTTATAATTAAGGTACAAATAGTGTATATAAAAATGGTTTATTTTTCTTGTCTATTTTGTGTCTCTTTTTAAAAGAATTCTCATTATCTGCTGTCTGCCTGTAATTCTTTGGTATTTTTGTAACATTCTGTGTGGCATACTTCTTTCAATCACAGTAGTCCATCCTTATCTGCAGTTTTGCTTTTTACAGTTCTAGTTACCCACAGTCAACTGTGGTCCAAAAATATTAAATGGGTAGAATGCAGTACAAGACATTTTGAGAGAAAGAAACATTTCATATACATAACTTTTATTACTGTATGTTGTTATAATTGTTCTATTTTATTACTTATTGTTGTTAACCTCTTACTGTGCCTAATTTGTAAATAAAGCTTTATCATAGATATTTATGTATGAGGAAAAAGCAGTCTATATCGGATTTAGCACTACCTAAGGTTTCAGACATCTACTGGGAGTCTTTTAACATCCCCCACGGGTAAGGGAGAACTACTGTATTTTAATTAAAATCTTAGGGAAACATATAAAGTAAAATATGTTCTTTTAATTAATGAAAGATAATTAGTTTACTACTTTTTTTTTTTTTTTCTGTAAATGTCAGGCATGAGTAACTTAGGCTAGCACTGGGAATGGAAATTTGTTCAGCCTGCACTGGGTTTCAGTGGTCTCCAAGCTTTTGTACCACTTAATATGGACTCTCAATATTAAAAAATTAAAAGGACGGGTCCAACCTAAGTTTGACAGTTTTTAACATGTACTGGGCAAAATAAACTCTACTATCTTACTATCAACCTAATGTCAAAAAAGAAAGCATATTTTTACCTTACACCAAGAGAGATCTATAATTAGAATAAAGGACGATCCTTCACATCAGAAGAAAGTTGGCAGCATTTTACTAGGATATAGTTTTGAAAATCTAAATGTAGAAATTTATAAACAGTTTCCATTCTGTAATGTTTGCCATTTAATTGTGGTCTGGATATAAGTTTGTCATCTTGGGAGTCTGTTCACCACAGATTAGAGTTCAAATGTCAACTTATTCTAGGACTTTTTTTTTTGTCCTCATCCTTTCTGTGTAAATTTGATGGCATTTAAGTGTGCTAGCTATAGTGAAAGCTACATAATACTGTTCCAGTATATCGTGAGCACACCTAGAAACCATAGAACAATGCCTTCCATGCCTTCAGTTGCTTCTCCTGCCTTCTCCCTGAATAATCTGGGGGAAAATTCAACTTGTCGCCCAGTTAGTGATAGGAGGAAGGGAGTTTCAGAGCAGCCTCTCTCAGTGGCCGCTGTAGGGACAGAAAGATGTGATACCTTTCCTCATCCATCATAAGGGTCACAACCAACACTCCTATAGCAAAAGACAGGTTAACAAGAGAAAAACACAACAAATGTATTTAATCTAAGTTTTATGTGACATGGGAGCCTTCGGAAATGAAGACTTAAATATGCAGGTAAAACTGTCTGTTTTTATGCTTATGTTTGAGGAAGAATGGAAGAATGGACAGCCATGTAGAAACGTGATTGGATGAACAGGTGTGATCTAGTGGTAATAAACTGAAGAAACCTTCAAGGCCTGTCTGTTCAGGTCTTTCTTGGGGTCTTTCTGTGTAGCTTTCCTTCTTCCTGGGCGTGGGGCAGGACCCTTATCGAAGGAGGGTCTTAGGACATAGTAAGGTGGGGGAAAGTTGGAATAATATTTCTAGGTTTTACAACTTACTTTAGAGAAGAGAGGAGCAAGAAGCAGGAAGGCAGGAAAAGGTCAGAGACCTTGGTTCTGATGCTGCTTCTGAGGCCTTCTAATCTCTCTTAGTTTAAAGTACTTACTATGCTAAAGCACCATAGTTTGGGGTATCATGTTCTGAGCTCTAACACCACTCATACCTAGGACTTGGCTCAAGGCTTTGCTCATTGACATATAGTAGTAGAACTTACCTGAGAAGAATGCTATGGCCTGGTGGAGATGTTATCACTGACACATGCCAGTGTGTAGATCAGCTTTTAGGGACCATTGATTGGTATTTTCTCTAGAGATAAAAGGCTAATAAACTGTCCTGGTGATTGGAATGGGTGCTACTAGCAGTAGACCTATCCTATTTCAGCATGGGCTTGTCTGAAGGGAGTATTTTAAGAGAGAGAGTACAATAAGCAGACTCCAGTTTTTCCTAGGCAGACTTTCACATTTGGCCTTATTTTTTATATACTTATTTAAATGAATGCAAAAAACGATATCAAAACCCAACTTCGGTTTTTGTGAACCTAGCTTGATTTGGAGCTCAATTTCTATCAGCAGGATCTGTTTCTTCTGGATTGAGCCTCTATGTGGTAGACCACAGCAATTTCAAACTCATCCGGTTCCTGTAAGTTAGTACAGGTGATCAAGGGGCTAAAATACATGTGTTGGGTTATACTAGATTCCCCCTGAAACCCAGCTATAGAGGCAGATTAACCTCAATAATTGGGCTAAGAATGGGGATGTTATAATTCTAGAAAGGGAAAGACAGCTTAGATGTTTGGCATTAGAAACATTAGATGACTATCTGCAGTGAGTATGTGTTGACTGAATTTCTCCACTTGAAATATATCTACAGTGAACAAATGTAACAAAACTTGAGGGAAGGTCTTGTCTCAAAGAAGACTAAAGAAAGATCATATCTCATACTGCAAACTCGATGACATAATGTTTTGAACCATACAGTAAGAAGGCACTGGGCATTGACCCAGCTTGCCTAAGCAAGAAGAAATTCTGAAAGATCTCTTTCACCAGCAAGTTGGAGAAATGAGAATTGGGGATGAGAGAACAAATGGGTAGATCCCCACATAGGGCCCATGTTTCCTCAAGGAACAGCCATTCTTCACTTCTAACTGGTGGGTGGAATGGGGTCAAGATCTGAGAATGAGATTCCATAGCAGGAAATTCCCAAGAGGATAACATAGGAATGACGAGACACAGTGGCTCACAGCTGTAATCTCAGCACTTTGGGAGGCCGAGGCGGGCGGATCACGAGGTCAGGAGTAGGAGACCAGCCTGACCAACATGGTGAAACCCCGTCTCTACTAAAAATACAAGAATTAGCTGGGCATGGTGGCACGTGCCTGTGATCCCAGCTACTCAGGAGGCTGAGGCAGGATAATCACTTGAACCCAGGAGGTGGAGGTTGCAGTGAGCCAAGATCGTGCCACTGCACCCCAGCCTGGATGACAAAACAAGACTCCGTCTCAAAACAAAACCTAGGAACCAACTTTGCTACTGGAATCCAAAGTCAAATATACAAAGAAAAATACATTATTATGAACAGAGGGCGGAGGGCCTTGGGCCATAGAACATTAGACGATTAGACTGATTTGTTTTCTCAACAGGGAAGTTGATTCATTCCAAGATTGGGGATTATTCTAACAAGCCTGGTCAGCTGGCCATCTTAAAATAATGGTTAATACCTTTTTTTTTTTCTTTTTTGCACTTCCTACATGCCCAGCACTGTTCTAAGCCCTAAGCCCTTTACCTCCATCTACTCATTTACGTTCTCACAACAACCTGTGAGGTAGATACTATTGAAATTTTTGTTCTACAGATAAGGAATACAAGGTACAGAGTTTAAATGACTTAAAGTCACACTGCTGCTGAGTGTTAGAGTTGGGATTCAAACCCAGATGACAAGCTAGCAACTGAATCCACGAGTTTCACCTAGATCTAGACGATGCCTTATTGCCTTTCTATACTATATTACAAGGAAAGTATGCAAAAACAAAGTTCTTAAAGATTCTCAACAAATTTGAATTTCTATAATATAATTTGGGTTTTGTGTTTCTGTAGAAGTATAATGATTAAGAAAAAGAACTATATTGTCTTGAAAGCAGAGGAGGACTATGCTTTGTCTGGATCCTTAGGAAATAGCCTCACTAAAATGGCAAAAGAGCTACAGATCCAGGGAAACAGTGAGCAGAGTATGCGGTGTTTAGAACCCCAGTGGCTCATTGAGAACAGTCACTAGGGATGTAGACTGCAGTCATCAACCCAGGTCTTTTTGGAATGGTGTGTGAGAGGGCTATTAATTTGTGCATAAGTTTTTAATCTGAGCAAATATAAAAGCCTTAGGCTGAGCATGGTGACTTAATGCCTGTAATCCTAGCACTTTGGAAGACTGAGGAGGCCAGGAGTTCAAGACCAGCCTGGGCAACAAAGCCAGACCCCATCTCTAAAAAGAATTTAATTTGCCAGGCATGGTGGTACGTGCCTATAGTCCCAACTACTTGCAAGACAGAGGTGGAAGAATCGCTTGAGCTCAGCAGTGAGCTCCAGCCCTAGGTGACAAAGACCCTATCTCTTTAAAGCAAAACAAAAACGAAACTTAATTTTTGAAGTTTACTATATACCCACCTAGGGATATTTTGGAGCTGATACTAATATATTAGCTCACATTTTAAAGTTGATGCATTATGAAAATTCCACTTGAGCTGATTAATAATACATATAAAAGGCAAACTGAGCTACCTTAGTATACTTGCTTTTTTATGCATTATGTTTAAGATGATGTGTCATAACAATGAAATAATTTTTAAACATTTAAAATCTTCCTAATGTGGAAATAAAGCACAAGATACACAGATAAGATACTTTCTTAAGTGGGAAAATATAGGCACAAATGTAAGTAACACTGCTTGAAATGGAATCCAAATGGGGTCACTCATCTATTCTACATTTTGTAATAAAATGGTACAGGTCTCTAAAATTAAACTCAGTAACATATTAAGTTAAAAAAAAAAGCACAAAATTACTACAATGTTCTATTAATATATCTAAAGTTTCAATTTCCAAGCTAATGAGAATTAGAAAGTGTTGGTTATTTTTCAATTCAGAAAATCCTGTACAGACATAATTAGTTACGTTTGGATTTGTGTACCATGGCGGCATTTAGCTCTCTTAACTAGCAGTGTCTGGGATATAGTAGAAGCTTAATAAATACATATTAATGTTGAACACATTATCAAGACTCAACAGAAAATTATTTGAT